ACACTTCCCAAATGCATATTTCTTAAATATAGAAGTCATTTATTAAACGTAAATATATATATAAAAAAAAATCTTGTGACGTGTCAGTTTCCCTTAAATTAAACAAATACGTATTTCATGATAGCGTCCCTTTAAAGGAACGCTCCAAGCACCATTAAAGCACACAGCAGTGGTTATGGTGCCTAGAGTGCCGTGCCACCCCTGCCAATTTTTTTCTTTTAAAAAGGTTTGACTCAACTCTTCCTCAGACCATCCATCAGTCCTCCTGAGCTTATCCCAACTCACTGAGCTGTAATGGAAGAAGGTCATAATACCTGGTGGACCCCATTCTCAAACAGTTTGACTTCTTATAAGGAGGGAGGACACTCCATGCACCATAACCACATCATCACTATGTAGTGGTTATGGTGTTTGGAGAACATGTATATATGCTAACAATAAGAATCTACATATAATTGGTCAACATGGATACTCTGGGAAGATCTTCTTAACAGTTGAGCTTTTCTATTCTAGGTGGATCCATGTCCGGCTAAATTTGACACACATAATCAGTCCCAGCATACTTGAAATAGATTTCAAACCACAAGTCCTGACTGTCTCTCATTTCATATTCCACTAAAACTGCTCTAATCCCTTGAGTGCCTAAAGGGTGAGCCATGGATTTCGAAATACTCGAGTGCTTCAAGACATATTCAGGATTTTCTTTGGATTCCACGGACATATGTACTTGGTATGCAGAGTATTTTATAGTGTTTACATTGAAGTAACAGTAGGTTAACAGGATTGTACAAAAGACGTCGACAACAAAGAAAACGGTTCTTCCCAGTTAGAACAATAACTATGTGGGATTTCTTTTTTTTTTTTTCTTGCAGAACAGAATATTTACAGCTATAATAGCTAATATAGGGGTATTAACAGTTTGCTAATCCAAAGAAAGTTCAGATTATTACCATGGAGTAAAAGAAGATCCCCCTCCCCTTTTATGTAATTGTACATTAATTCATAGAAGACATAAGAAGACATTTAGCACGGTTAAAAATTCTATTCTATTGGCCCGATCTAAAGTAAGCAGCATAATGCAAAATACTTTAAATAATTGTGTACAGGGAGTGGACCAAAATACCAGGACACCATATGGGGGATATTTATCAAAGTGTTCTGGAAAGTGACATTAAAATCCATCATTATTTTGATCTTATTAAAGAGGACCTGTCACTTAAGTATTTGTTAAAGATATATTCTTTTTGCAATACTGATCAAGACTGTGTCGGAATCACACTGAAAATCCAATGCAATAAAAAGATACCATAAGACAAAGTATGGACTACTTTATCTTATGGGCAAGCCTGAGGTTGAGAAACATTGACAAAACGTGGAGCAAGCGGTCAATTTTTGCTAAATCCCAGCAGCCATTGTCAATGGAGGCTCATGCATCACATGCATGAGAGTACAGCATCGATGTGGATCCTGGGAAATGACGTGCCAGTCGACGAGGAGAACCTGCAGGAGGACGATTGCAGCGAGGGACAACTTGTAAGTAAAGTAAGAAAAATCTACCTTTTCCTGCAGGCCACGGCCAGCAGATCCACACCAAATCTGACACTTTTGGGGATCTTTGCAAATTTGTACAAAGTGACAGAACCACTTAACAACCACAAGATGGTCTATGCCGTCATGCAGTGGACGGTGTAGACAGTCACGCATTAAAAAAATACCTGCTGGTACTAAGGAACCCCAGGTCTCTTTCAGTTAGTGGCTCCGGACTGACAGTTGCGCTAAGAGCAGCATTTAAAGTGAGTGCGGCTCATAGCCCTTTCAATACCATTGCTAAGCAATCTCGGTCAGCCACAGTTTTCCTATCACTGCTCCCAGCCTCCAGCATAAATGAAAGGAAATCCAAAGATACGTTGGGGGCCCTCTGTCAGTTGGGGCAACAGTTTGGGCCCCAGTCCGACAGGAGAGTAGTAAATCCTGCTCTTAGCCCTTTAAATCTCTTTAAATGCGACGATAGGTCATTTCAGTAAAATTAAAAATGATTTTGTTGCCCCCCGTAGCCTGGCACACTGTCCCCCAAGTTTCATTGAGACCAAATCCTTGCAGCAGGATTGGTCCTGGGCTTGCCAGCTGCAAAGCTCTTTCCAAAAGACGAATGTCGTTATAAATTATCCAGTAATGTTCATAAACCTTCCATCACAACGGTCTACGCATACAAGACACTAACTTCATATATGTGCAGCCAACATTGCGGAATCGGTTATAAAACACAAAGCCAAATCCTCTGACTTCTTTACAATAATGCCCCAATACCTTTTTTAACCTGCCATTTAATAACTGCTCCTATATTTCTATCACAATGACATTTTCTCTGCAAATTTGATGCATGATATTATACATAGCACAACAAAATAAATACAAATTTTCTTATCAGAGATGAACATATTAGAGAATAAGATTTTTACTTCCTCACCTGAAAAAAATGAAACCTATCTAAAATGTAAGGACTTATTTTCATTTGCTGAGCATTTACTTATTTCCTTGCCAACGAGCAGATAAGACATTTACTCATTTACCATACCTTATCTACAAAAATACCTGTTTGCGCTGACATTTAATTATTTGTATATTAATATATTAATAAGCAATGCCAATTCTTCAGTTACTTAAGTTAACTACATTTGCCTTAAAGAAAGACTATAGTCACAAAAACAACTTTAGCTTAATGTAGCAGTTTTGGTGTATAGATCAAAATTTTCTTTGGGTCGGAAAGACCCCCATTTTTCTTCACTCTTGCCGTCAGTGTAGAGTATAATGCCTGGACCCATTTACAGAAATTCTCGCCTTGGTCCATTTTACGGAGCATAAGGCGATGAATGTTTAGTCCACCTCGTCGAACTCTTTCTCTGTGTTTGTAGAGAAGGATCAATTAGCATTTCGACACTCGTGCCGAGGATAGTATTGTATTTGACCTTCCTGCGAGGAACAAATCTGCTTATGGAGAACTAGAGATGGTATGATTTCTTGTAAGTGGGCCGCTAGAGTCTTATCAAGGATCTGAACATCGCGACTTGACCCTATTTAGGTAATACCATGCTGTACGCTGCCATTGAGTCTCTTCCCAACACACACTGCTGAAGTAAGTAATTAAAGGAAGCCATAAGGTGCAATTGTAGAATCTCAGACCTTGTCGCCACACCTACATCTGCCGCCTGAAGCTAAGAGAGAAAATCGCAACTCTACCAATTGCCTTTAGTTGTTCCATTTACATGTCGAATTAAGTTGAATATGTATATTTATGAGTAGACTACATGTCACTTTTTCATCAACTTTCACTTCACATTTACTGTGTTATATATTATCCTTTTTTACCTATTGTTTTGCATTCACTTTGGCACCACAAACACTATATATATATACACATACGTATACATACACCCGATACAGAAACTCGTACAAACATACACACAAACACACACACTTCTTCATGTTTCCCTCTCTCGCTAAATAATCTAAGTGTCTCTTGTCATGTTGTTGTTTCTAATGGGGTTTATTGATCTATATACATTTTTAATATTTACACCGAATAATAGTTTATACGTGTCTTAGCAACCATCATCTACACTTCCCATTTGGTGTACACGTCATCATGTGACTCGTACATGCACATCTGGGTTTTGCAGCTGGAAGCTTCCCTGCCTGGTGGTCAATGGTTCAATATATATTTTTTATATCTCTATATAATAAAGCATTTTCTCTGCATTTCTTTATCTTGAAAAAGAATCAGAAAAGGTCGAAACTTAGATTGATCTCCATGTACCACATTTTTTGTTGCACGAATAAATGCACATTTTCCAAGTCCTGAGAATGCACCCCATTTTTATTTTGAGATTTTCGATATATATATTCTCTTCAATGATATATTATGAGGTAGGTAATGCTTTTTTTTTTTTTAAGTCTCTCATCACGTCTCATCTCTCCGCAGCTCAGACATCCATTTTTCAGCACACAAATTAATCTTTTCTGGTTAATGCATATCTCATCTCCCTTTTTCCCTTCTTTATTCTGACAAAGATTTTTTCAGCGGTGAGGTCATTTTAACCGGTTTAATATAAAACCTGGTTTGTTTTCCTTTTCCAAGTGCAAGAATACCTTATCTGCTAGAGCTGTGAGTTTGTCAGTCAGATGTTCACAGGCTCACAATTGGCCCTTTATTTCAAGGAAAAATGCTTCGAATTTAATGAAAGAGACATTTCCAAACCAATTTTCAGGATCTTTCCCCCCTTAGGGTTTAGAATGGTAATGTAAATCTTCACCAAAAAAGCAGTAGTCGCAGATTTGATGATATTGTAGATCCAATCATTCAGTGACACTCACACAGGAAGAGACGTGATTGAAATTAGTCTACCTGTCATTTTGAGCTGAATTCTCTCTCAATTTGCTGCGGCATGAACACTGATAGAATTTTTATAGTCTCTTAAGTGATTTAACCCTTTTATCCGCATTTTCTAACTAGTGCTGCTAACTACACGTTGCCTGTTTTATAGAGGATTTTTTTTCTTCGTCTTTCAAACAATAATACACAAGGCTTTTTATCTAGGGATAATGAGGAGTATGGAGCATTAATACCGCTTTTAAAATCTCAGAAATTACTATAAAGTACTGGAAATAGCACTGAACTGAACAATGAAAAATTAAATCTACGGACATTGCTAAAGATTAGCACCACGTGATAAAGATGGATTAATTTGAAATAGAAACATAAAATGTGATGGCAGATAAGAACCATTCGGCCCATCTAGTCTGCCCAATTTTCTAAATACTTTCATTAGTCCCTGGCCTTATCTTATAGTTAGGATAGCCTTATGCCTATCCCACGCATACTTAAACTCCTTTACTGTGTTAACCTCTACCACTTCAGCTGGAAGGCTATTCCATGCATCCACTACCCTCTCAGTAAAGTAATACTTCCTGATATTATTTTTAAACCTTTGTCCCTCTAATTTAAGACTATGTCCTCTTGTTGTGGTAGTTTTTCTTCTTTTAAATATAGTCTCCTCCTTTACTGTGTTGATTCTCTTTATATATTTAAATGTTTCTATCATATCCCCCCTGTCTCGTCTTTCCTCCAAGCTATACATGTTAAGATCCTTTAACCTTTCCTGGTAAGTTTTATCCTGCAATCCATGAACCAGTTTAGTAGCCCTTCTCTGAACCCTCTCTAAGGTATCAATATCCTTCTGAAGATACGGTCTCCAGTACTGCGTACAATACTCCAAGTGAGGTCTCACCAGTGTTCTGTACAATGGCATGAGCACTTCCCTCTTTCTACTGCTAATACCTCTCCCTATACAACCAAGCATTCTGCTAGCATTTCCTGCTGCTCTATTACATTGTCTGCCTACCTTTAAGTCATCAGAAATAATCACCCCTAAATCCCTTTCCTCAGATGTTGAGGTTAGGACTCTATCAAATATTCTGTACTCTGCCCTTGGGTTTTTACGTCCAAGATGCATTATCTTGCACTTATCCACATTAAATGTCAGTTGCCACAATTCTGACCATTTTTCTAGTTTACCTAAATCATTTGCCATTTGGCTTATTCCTCCTGGAACATCAACCCTGTTACATATCTTAGTATCATCAGCAAAAAGACATACCTTACCATCAAGACCTTCTGCAATATCACTAATAAAAATATTAAAGAGAATGGGTCCAAGTACAGATCCCTGAGGTACCCCACTGGTGACAAGTCCAAGCTTCGAATATATTCCATTAACTACAACCCTCTGTTGCCTGTCACTCAGCCACTGCCTTACCCATTCAACAATATTGGAATCCAAACTTAAAGATTGCAGTTTATTGATAAGCCTTCTATGTGCAACAGTGTCAAAAGCCTTACTGAAATCTAGGTAAGCAATGTCTACTGCACCACCCTGATCTATAATTTTAGTTACCCAATCAAAAAAATCAATAAGATTAGTTTGGCATGATCTCCCTGAAGTAAAATGTTTCATTAAAAGCCGATGTGGTCCTTCAAGACATAGTTTTCTTTTTCTAAGAAACAATATTTATTGTATCTGTCTCTTTAATTGTTATAGTTCTGTGGGTTCTTCCTTTCCCTGCCCTAATTGATGGATATTTGAAGATTGAGACGCTAGTGATTGATGAGAGCAACTTGACCTATCAATACCTTGTATAGACCTCATACATGCTCAGTCTGCTCGTAGAATGTATTTGTGATGTCATCCACTCAGTGGCGTACTAAAGGGGGCGGAGGGGGCAGTCCGCTCCGGGTGCCACCAGGGTGGGGGGTGCCATGACCCTTGTTTGGTAGCTGGAGGGGGCTGTGTGAGCTGTACTGTCGCACAGTGCCCCATGGTAGTTAGGGTGCCGGGCGGCAAGAACAGCTCACACACGCAAAGAGCAGCTGAACTGGCTGCATGAAGGTAAAGTGAGAGTGGAGCGAATACAATTTGGGGGTGGAGCCAAACCGGCAGCGGGGGTGGGGCTTTATATGGCCCTTACCCGCTGCTGTTACTGCTGCACATGAAGGTGCAGCAAGATGGAATCCCTGCTTCTCCACAGGCTTCAGGAAAGTACTTCAGGGAATCCAGTCCTCCTCCAGCCCACTGTCTGTAAGTAAGAGTGTCTGTGTGTGTGTCTGACTGTGTGTGTGTAAAACTGTCTGCCTGTAACTGTGTGTGTATAACTGTATGCCTGTAACTGTGTGTGTGTGTATGTGTGTGTGAGACTGTCTGCCTGTAACTTTGTGTATGTGTGTGTGACTGTCTGCCTGTAACTGTATGTGTGTGTGTTTGCCTGTAAGTGTGTGTGTGTGTGTGTGTGTGTAACTCTCTGCCTGTGACTGTGTGTGTGAGTGACTGTATATGTGACTGTCTGTCTGTAACTGTGTGCGTAACTAAACCTGTAACTGACTGTGTGTGTAACTGTCTTCCTATAACTGTGTGTGTATGAAACAAGGGGGGGGGGTTGGCTGTGTGCATGTGACTGTCTGCTGCTGTCGTGTGTGTGTGTCAATGTATATGTGACTGTCTGCCTGTAACTGTGTGCATGACTGTCTGTGTGACTGCATGTGACTGTGTGTCTGTAACTGTGTGTGTGTAACTCTCTGCCTGTGTGTGTGAGTGACTGTATATGTGACTGTCTGTGTGTAACTGTGTGTGTGACTGACTGGCTATGACTGTGTGTGACTACCTGTAACTGTGTGTGTAACTGTCTGCCTATAACTGTGTGTGTGACTGCATGTGACTATGTATGTGTGACTGTCTGCCTGTGACTGTTTGATGTTGCCTGTAACCACTAGTGACTGCCTGTGACTGTGTGCATGTGACTGTCTGCTGCTGTTGTGTGTGTGTGTCAATGTATATGTGACGGTCTGCCTGTAACTGTGTGCATAACTGTCTGTGACTGCATGTGTGACTGTGTGCGTGTGACTGTCTGCCTGTAACTGTATGCCTGTCACTGAGTGTGTGACTGTATGCCTGTAACTGAGTGTGTGACTGTCTGCCTGTAAATGTGTGCATGACTGTCTGTGACTGCATGTGTGACTGTGTGCGTGTGACTGTCTGCCTGTAACTGTGTGTGACTATATGCCTGTAACTGAGTGTGACTGTATGCCTGTAATTGAGTGTGACTGTATGCCTGTAACTGAGTGCGTGACTGTATGCCTGTAACTGAGTGTGTGACTGTCTGTCTGTAACTGAGTGTGTGACTGTCTGCCTGTAAATGTGTGTGTGGGGCTGCAGGGATTTTGTAGAAGGGGCAGGTGGTGCCAAGCACAGGATCCTACCCGGGTGCCAAATGCTCTAGGTACGCCCCTGCATCCACTTACTTTCCCTGGGAATGTCTGAACCTGGATGTCAGAAGAGATGCACATTGCTTTATGTATAAGGTTCCCATAGGCTACAACATCTCTGAGCTGGGTTGCAGTGCCTGAACTTAATTACCATTTGAAGTTGTTGAAGAGAGTGTATGGTGAAGCAGTTGACAGCCTACAGGACTAAATTTGTATAATCCACTACAAGATATTATAAATGTATCATTTGGTTTTTAAGCAAAGCAGTAAAGAAATGCAGTCAGTCTGACTACCAAACAACGTAGACAAACATTGGAGTCAGCCTGACAATCTCAGCGCACTTTTAAGAGAGCTCGTCTCAACAAGTTTTTATCTGTCGGACATAGGTTACCAAACTGATTTTAATAATATATTCAGGTAACTACATGAGAAAAGATTTAATTCTTAAAATTAGCTTATGAAATGCACCTAATTCACCCATAGCAACACCAGTACTAAATGGTTTCTAGGGATGGTTTCTAGATCTTACAGGCAGGACCCTCTCTACCTTTTGTATTTGTCTGTGTATATTGTACGCTCTCCACTAATTGTACAGCGCTGTGGAATATGTTGGCGCTTTATAAATACCAGTAGAAAATAAATAAATAAATACATTGGGATAAATATGAATTAATATGAAAGTGCAGCACACATACGTACAACAATATGTATCTTTTTTAACAAGCATTTCTAATAAAAATAATATTATTGTCAACATATATTATAAGCTAAAAATTTCAAGTCCTATGCTACTAGCCAGGTCTAAAAGTTACTTGCCACTGCAAGCCCATGGGAGTCCATAGCGCATATTTTCACTCATCAACGGCTAGTATGCGAGTGGAAATTTTATATATATATATATATATATATATATATATATACATATATATATATATATATATAGATATAATATATACACACACATTTTTTTTTTTCAACCTAAAAAATTATTTCATGTCAATCTTAACACAAAACACCAGGAGATGGAACAATTACAAACATATGTTTAATAGCCTCTGCTAGCTAAAGACTACGGATGTGATATTCGTGTAGTTTTTGTGATAGAATGACACAAGGTTCTCTTTCAGACCGAATGATTACAATGATCAATTCGCAGAGCTGCTATGACAATCAGTGTCACATAGTATTTTTCAAGGGCCGCTACTGAATGGAGAAATCTAGTCACCTTAACGGAAAGTGTATATTAGAATTCAGAGCATATATCCAATACAACTTTTTTCCATAAGGGTATTCATTTACTAAACAGTGAATCAGGGGTGAATTAAAACGGACTAGAAATCCTTAGGCAAAAAATTGATTCATAGCTTAACTAATTTAGCCAAAACTTTGGAATTTGCTTTTTAAATGTTTTTTATAATTTTTTATTTTTGTTGTGCTTGACATATCAAGGAGTACTTAATACACATTGTGTAGTCTAAAGGTAATCTGTCACAGCACAGCATTGAAAGTGAACCCATAAACCAGCACATTTTTTGTGTAAAAATAAAAAATGACAAGAAGATCACACTGCAGATTGATAAGATCAGTAGGGTAGTATGTATGTAGAGTATATATACTGAGAATAAACTTTATAGAGTAGGCAGCGACTAGCTGTATAGGCAGACAAGCTTTGAGTAAAGACCCCTCAGAGCCCCCCCCCCAAGCAGGCTATGAATTAAAGCTTAACAAAAGGAATGAAAAGCGAGAAACAAAAATTGGCACAATGGCTGTTTCGTTGCCTGGGTGTCCTGTCAGAAAGAGGTAGTCCCCGATCTTCACGTGGTGCAGGATGTAGTTATGATTATGGCTTGAAGGAGCACGCAGCACCCGCCATCTTGTTGTTGCGTGAGTGCCAGTTGCTTATTCAGCAGGGAAGACGCGTGTCTTCAGTGTTGCCAGGGAGCCTCTAGGGAGCAGACCTGGATAACCCCCACCGGTCCAAAGGTGGGGGGGAAATGGGGCACTAATCGGCAGTGCAGATGCAGGGTGGAAATCGGCCGCATCCCCACTCACCCAGATTCACTAGGCTGCCAAACCAGCTCAGGCTTCCCAGGTAGCTTGGACACCCGGGGGCATCAATACACATTCCAGTAATACCTTGTTCGGTTCAGGAGCACCATGACAAAAGTAACCTCGTCACTGGCTTTTGGAGGGTCTTGCTGGCCAGCCTCTTGCTTCAGAACTATGGGCCCTGCAATATACCTTGCCCAATGCACTTTAAAAGGCTCTGTTCATGTGATGTATGTACTTTTGTACTCCAGACAGAGAGACCGACCGTTAGCCCTAATTCTCTGGAACTGTTTTGGGAATGGGACCATGTGCACGGTGGATCAAAACTATGACTTTGAGGAAATTCCTAAACCCTGAACCGATCTGGGTGATTTTTGGATATGTTGTTCACCCAGATTAGG